GGGGGGCTCTTATTGCCGGATACAGTTAACGAGAAAGGGGATGAATCTTGTTCCTAATAATAAATTATTTCCTCTAATATGTTGTGTAGTCATAATTCATGTTATGTGGGCATGCAAAAAATCTATTGAGCAAAACATACGCCCACCTGTCAGTCTGCCTGTCCGTCCGTCTCACTGGACTCTCTTTTTTCTGTCTCTGTCCGTGTGCTGTTTATTCGTTTGGTGAAGAGGTCTAAATCGTTGAGCCGATTTTCTTCAAGATTGATATTCTCCAATCTATTTAAATAAACTCGAGGCCCTCTGAGTTTGATAATAATAGTTTGATTTTTACATGAAATCTCAAGAAAATTTTCTCGAAAAGACGTCCAAATTTTTAAGTTAAACTTTGCCCTCGGAGAGCGTGAAGGACGCTGAAGAGAGTGATGAATGTATTTTCGTAGATATCCCTGACTACGAAAATCGTAAAAGTTCACATTCCATTTCGTAGCCTTCCTACAACTATATTGATTCTAGAGATTTTCTCCTTAAAATCTGCACAGAGCGAAGTCGCTCGCCTTTCATCAGGGAGGTTCAGGTTCTTCCCGGACAATCTTATGTGAAATCTGTGCCGATAAAATGAGTTTGCTAGTCCAACCCCTGTGAAGCGTCGTAAACGTTACCCCTATCCTTATTCCTTCCCAATTCTGGCCACTGGATAGTGACGCAGGAGCGCGTAAGAGGTGTGTACGCGGAGATGCTACCTGGTGGTCTTCTTAACCACTGACTTCGACGAGACTGGACAACAGACCAACAACATTAACAGAGGATTACTCCAAATAAAAAGGTGAACAGAAAATTACTCCTAGCAAGCGCTCAACGCCCTCCTAGGGGTTTGGAGACGCGTTGCGTCAGTGTCAGACGCAACAATTTTTTTTTTTTTAAATGGCCATGAACAATTTTTCTAATGAAATATTCTGAAAGTATTATTTCAATTCTGTCACTAGGAAACCGGAAAATGGAGCAAATGTGAAAAAAAATGTTTGGGCGGCGATAGATTGCAGCTGGCAAGAGGCTGGGACGAAACCGAAAAGCTGGTCCCGCCCAAATAAATTAGGCAACCAATATGAGAAAATCTGTGCCATTAGTTTGATACGTAAACGAATGTGATCGGTAAACGAATTGTAGATATGATTTTTCTGCATTGCTAACAAAATAGTAACTCGCCCTTACCTCTACTCCCACAACTACAAGCAAAAGGAGCCAGAAGCAAAACAAGAAGCCATCTCAGCATTTGCTCAATGGATCAGGGAAACGGGACAAAAACCAGAACGAGATGGGGGTCATTGACCCGGTAGCTGAAGTTCATTATTTGTTACAAGCATATTAAGTCTTTTTAAAAAAACGAATTTACCACGAATTCCATAAGAAAAGTAATATATATATATATATATATAGCAAGATGTTACGGTCAATAACGTGAAAAGCTTTCGAAAGATCTAAAAATATTTCAATGGGTGCTTCATTTTGGTCCATTCATGAAGCAACATCTTTAAGAAAAAGAACAAATGGCAGTTTGCGAATCATTTGAGTTTCTAAAACTTTGTTGTGAGTTTAAAAACTCTTCGTTTTTTCCTGAGAAAAGTTTCCTTTCGAGTATAGATAAGCATCTCTAATATTTTTGAGAAACCTGACAAAAGAGATATTGGCCGGTAATTTTGAATTTAATTTTTGATCCCTTTTTTAAAAAGTGTCTTAATTTTTGCTGTTTTGAAAATATCAGGAAATGTTCTTTTGCATAAAGACGCATTGAAAATGTGAGTTAATTGGTGTATAAAGGCAGGTATACACATAAACGATCCGGAAATTCATATACAGCCGATGAATATGTATTTTCTAATTTACTGACTTTTCTCAGGATATAGTTAGAACAAGATTTGGAAATAAACATTGTGCCGAAACTTTTTTGGAAAGGGAATGATGTTGAATTTTGCGGTTTTTGTCCCTTTGTGAGTTCAGCCGCAATTCTAGTAAAGTGTTGGTTAAAGAGATTTGCCACTCTTTGCGGAATACTTGCTTCTCTTTCATTATCCTTTAAAACAACATTCTCTTAAGTTACGAGATGATATGGTGGAATTTTTTTACGATATTCCACATTACTTTAGTTTTGTTACTAGCGTTCAAAATATCCTGATTATTTTTCATTATTCTAGCCTGAATTATTACTTTCCTTAAAATTCTTTTCTATTCTCGAAAGTAGACATGGATACTTTATGACGTTTAGAAATAAAGTAAAGGGTACGTTTGTTTTGAAATATTTAATTTTATCTTTTTGAGAGGAAAGTGAAATGAAAACTTTGAGAAAAATAGATTATATTTTTCATTTGTGTCAACAGCGTTATAAACTGTATCCTATGATTCCTTCAGCAGGTAGTCCGTAAATAATTTTATGTTAACTTTCTGACTAAAATGTTCTGCACACGTGTGTATTTATTGTGCCAGTGTTCATGTTATACTTAATTGTAAGAATTTGTGAATCGTGGTCACTGTGACCTACATTAGTAGTTTTTATTTCATATCTAGTGGCGGTTTTATTAATTGTAATTTGATTATTGCTTTTTGTGATATAAATGTATTTCGTGTAGGTACATTCACCATAATATCTAAAATAAAAGAATGCAGTAAATTGAAAAACTGCTCTTTTTCATGGGATTAGCTCAGAAAATCAATATTGAAATGTTCACATAAAACAATGGATTTAAAAGATAAATTACTAATTTTGTTCACAGTTATCTCTAGATTTTCTAAGAAAATGAAACTATCTAAAGCTCGTTTTGTTGGAAGTCTGTAGATGCAAAGTAAGATAGTTTTGAGTGTAGTAAGATGTTCGACCGTTATTTCAAAACTTTTTTCAACTGCATATAAATTGAATTCTGACAAGAAGATAGAATCAATATCACTATCAATATCACTTCTTAAGTAAAAATACGATTCTCCGTATGAAGGGTCCTTTTTTGATTCCCTCATTCTACAATACGGTCCTGCAGGGTGAATTTGGTGTTTAGATCATTATGAGATAAACATTGTTCTATAAAGGGAAAAAAGGTCGTTCTTTTAAGCGTCTTTTACACTTTTCGATGACAAAGTTTAAGTCAAAACTTCGGGGCCATTTTTGAGAAAATGTTGCAAATGTGTTTTATGCTTCATGTAAAGTGTCCCCCAAAATCAAAATATACTTTTACTCTGAGGGCTCGAGTTCATTTAGATTGATCGGGGATTAACAATTATGAAGAAAGTCGTCTGAACGATTTTGGCGCTAACGTTGAACAGAGACAGGCGGAAGGACAGACAGGCAATTTGCCATCAATGGAATTTTTGGTATCAAAGACTAAAAATCATCTAATCCGACTACACAACGTGTTAGAGAAAGTAATGTACCACGTACAACTATCAGATTTATCCCCTTTTTTGTTACCAGGTCCCGGCAATAACGTTTTTTCTGTCGAAAATTCGACTTTTCGGTGCACGATTACTTTCTGTTCTTACCAAGAGAGATGTGAATGTAAAAAATGTAACATACATAACTGGCACAAGAAGATTAATTTTTTTGCCAAAAATATTGAATAAGAGCTGGTAGTCTATAAAAATAATTCAGAATATAATTACAGAAATTAAATTTAAATTCAGAAATGTGATAAATTTAGAAGAATTTACCTGCAATAATGCTGTAGGTAATGACGACTTGTATAATGCTGTCTGCTACTACAGTAAGTATAATGCCAACTGAAAACAAAAGTCCTCCTATCACAGAAACCACTCTATATGACATGGTCCTCAGCAAGTAGTTTGTCACCAAACCTAAATAAATTAGAGAAAAGAGATATGATGCTTTCAAAATGGAAAAATTATCAATATTAAAAAACATGTTCTAAAGTAAAAGTCTTCAAAATGAGGCAATAAATTAAAAGTAAAAATATTGATAAAACAAGGTTAAAAATATATTATTTACTAAACAAGGATTAAGTTTGTAACTGATAAATGATTAGCACCCATGAAAGTGTATTTAAAATTTATAATTAATGATGTATATTTCACAACTAATATGATAACTTAGGAATTGAGAACTACATTCTTCCATTTTTACAATCAAAAGAGTTGACATGAGCCTTGTTGTGTACTTGCTTAAACATCCTTGTTTGAGTTACCTAAGTCTTCATTCTGTATACATGTATACTTATCTTTTTACTTAGAATAGCGTGATCATGAAGTTCTCAAATATAATGATAAATCACCTGTAAAATTCACAGCCGCAGTAAGTGCATTCATTATAACTGTTGCTCCTGTAGTTCTGGAATCTAGTTTGTCCAGAAAATCTTGAAAGAGAAGCCCGAATGCAGTGTAATGACCTGTTGTTGATATCTGTGAAAGCAAAAGAAAGTAGCAAAATATTAACATTTACACCAACACCCTTGCCTACCAACGTTCTAAATTATGTCGTTTTCAAAAATATTAAATGAGAAGCAAAAATAAACAAGATTATAAGAACACATTATGACAAAATCTTGAAAATATCAATTTTTTCAATACCAAGATCTCCATCCTCACTGATAGAACAATGGGATGTCACTATCAAACGTCATATACCAAAGGAACTGCTAATGAAAATACCGTTTTTGTGCATATACAGGTTTAATTTCTTTTGTGATTTTGTATGCATGGCAGAAAGTATGAAATACACAATTTAAAGTAATGTTTTAATCAGAATAACTTGATCTAGCAAGTACTAGTAGATACCACTGATTCCTGTATAGAATTACTGAATAGGCAATTGCACATGAGAAGCGTACACACTTTTCTTTATGCTGATGACCTTGCCTTCCTAGATCCTTCGATTCCCTAAAGCAATCTTTATCCTACTTCCAAGACTCCCTTAACAACTTTCACCTCTGGGGCTTCCAAAACTCCATTACCATAAACCCATCGAAATCCTGTTTTACTAAAAAACATACCCAATCAACCCCCTCCCCTAACCATTGCAAACGAACATATACCCTGGAATAATGCTTCAGAAATACCCTACCTCGGCATAACCTTCTCCTGCAGACTCCTTTGGTCCCACCACATCTACAAACCTACCGTCAAAGAAACCAGGATCACCACTACCTTATACCTCATCCTCACCAATCGCTTCATACTCACCAAGAAAAAAATCCAAACCTACAACTCCTATATCCGTCCCATCCTAACATATGCCCATCCCACCTGGTTCGCAACATCCCACACCAACCGCACCAAATTAAACCGCGTCGAAAACCACAACATCCGTCTTATCTTCCGCCCACCCATGTGTACCATACACAACTCCATACGATAGCAAATCAAAATATCGCACATCCTCACATACCTCCACAACTCCGCAATAGCCCCAAACCAAAAATATATCAACAATACAACCCCCTATTCCGAAACCTAATCAGTCTTCACCACCACATCCTCAGAAACACACCCCGACACAGCAGGAAAAAGCATCCCTTGGACATCCTCCAACTTCCCCCTCCTATCACCTAAACCAAAGGGTAAAGACAAACAATTAACGAACTGACAACAAACTGTAAAAACATTACTGACACCGCTGTAACCACCGTCGACAACAACCTTTCTCCTCCCCCTGCTCACCTCTTCCCTCTCACCCCACCCCATCCCCTCCTATCCCCATCCCTTCCCTTCCCCACCTCGTCATCCAAAACCCTAATAAAACAACCCTTGGATAAACCCTTGGAGATAAACCAACAGTCCAGACTCTCGATCCCCGTCCCCGTACGAGGGAGAGGAGTCAAAAGTCCTGAAGAAAATCCCGCCAGAAGCCCAGTTAGAAGAGACCCCGCAAGTAGTCAGGCGAACGTAATTAAAAATCTAAGGAGACGTTGCATATGAGAAGGCAAATTGAATGTGTCCTGGTGTAGGAGGCTGCCAACTAGAAATGTAGGTTTTTGGGGAAGGGTTTGATGTAGCTTTAGTGGGGAATATAATGGTTATATTTAAACAAATTGTTTAAGTTTAACAATAAAACTAAAATTACTAAAGTGATTTAAGTAATACTTATACTGTATGTTTTGCAGTTTTCACAACTTCCATGCTCAAATTTTGTTACAGTAAACTTACAATAAATTTTGTTAATAAAATATCATTTCAATAAATCATATTTCACATTCCGACTCGTTTTCTGTGTTTCTGTAGTGTGAACGCCTGACACACATATACAGTTCTCTGGTCCATTGTATGCGTTGGCTTGGATTTCCTGAAGAAGTTGGGGATCCCCTTAGGTTCCCCAAACGTCTACGGCATCTTGTGATGCGATATCAAGATTTGCGGTAGCCCTCCATGGAGCGGTGCCGCTCCACCTTTGTTGCTGCGGACGTTCACCGCTTTCCGCCAGCACAGGTAACACATTTCCCAGAGCTGCCCCGGTGCTAGAAGCAGCTGCGCCGCATGCGAGGGCCGGCGTGACTGTTACTTCAAGCACTGCTTCTAATCCTTCTCTGAGTGGCCCCACTGACGAAGTACCGACTGACAGAGATCTGATAACTGACGAAGAAGATCCGCTACACAGGTCGATTTTTTTGAGGGATCTGACAATCCTCAGATTAGGAAGATGAGCTTGTATTTATTATTATAAATAATCCTTTTAGATGACTTTCTCCAAAATTGAAATTCTCCAATCGATCTGAACGAACTAGTGGCTTTAGATGTTTCAAACGGATATTTTTTTGAAATTTTTCATGAATCCTCAAATACATTTTCAACACTTTCTCAAAAAAATTGCTGCAGTTTTTTTATTAAACTTTGCCCTCGGATATCGTAAATATCGCTTAAAATAATGTCGCAGTCTGAGTTCGTTGAAATCCCTGATAATTCGAAAATTGCAAAAGTGCAATTTTTTGGGTGTCTTGATAAAACTGCAGTATTGACGATGGAGCTTTTTTCCTTGAATGAAACTTGTTCTTTTAAAACGTCTTAAAATGATCTTGAAATAAGGTAATGTTCATTTTTACGAAAATGTGAGTAGTTTTCGTGTAATTTGGAGCGAAAGAGAGGGAATTTTATTTTTAAATAATTTTTTCTCAATAACCGCACTACTTTTTTCTACAAACGTTTTCTGATATGTGCCAAGAGACGGTAAACAATATGTTGTTAGTCCCATTTTTGCCGAACTCTCTGGATTTTCAAAACTTGCAAAAAGTTAACATTTCAAAACTACAAAATTGAAGATAATTTTCAGATTTTTGTTTTAGACAAGCCTATTGTAAAAAATTAACAGCCCTTTAAAAAGGTCATGTACAATTTTTTGGAAAAAAGTGCATATTTCACATAATTTGTGTATGAAATTTACACAATTTCTAAAAATATTATTTTCTCAAGGACTGCTCCAAATTTTTTCATTAAATTTTCTCCTCGCGTATAACGACGGACGGTAAAAATATGTTGCAATTTCCGAAAACTGAAAAAATTACGTGTTAGACTACATTTTCTTAGCGTCGTACCGATTTCAATATCCATGGCGTTTCTGTAGCGTAGAGGTATAGCTGACGGTGGGTAAACATGAGGAACGTGAATTCGAATCTAGGAACGGAAAACTTTTTGCTGTGTGAAAACACTTTTGCATGTTAAAGTAGTTGTATAATATAGCGGAGCAGTTAGTAATTATGCGAGAAAGTACGTGCTGTTGTAGCACCACTAGTTATCCCTGTATCTTGAAAGTCTGCCCCTGGGGTAGGTACCAGTGTTTGCCAGCCATCTGCAACTTCGCGTCACTGCGATAGGCATAACGCTGACCGGGTAGGAACTCCTTGAGGTGTGAGAAGAGATGGAAATCATTGATGACGAGATCCGGAATAGAGGGTGGACACACACGGCTCGCCTCGCAACAGATTTTCTGCAGCAGCTCCGCTGGGAGATGGTTCCAGGTTTTTCCTTTGGTCCAGTTTCCTAATGCTGAGATGACTCTTCGTTTGTTCTCTGGTTATAATTTCTTCTCTATCTGTGCACGTTTTCTCGAGCTGAGTGGGGAATACAGCTGTTAAAAACCTGCTTCTCCATGTTGTCGATTCCTTCATGAGGGGCACAATAAGAATCTTAGCAAAAATCTGCAGCTGATTTGCCTTGGCAATGAGTTTTCACTATACGGGAGCGAATATTTTCTTATCTCTTCTTTTCAAAAACTCTCGTTGCTATCTGTATTCAGAGTTGAACTTAATAATAGTATAAGAGGTAGAGTAGGATTCTAGGGAACACATGCGCAGATAGCGCTTCCTTGATAGTAAAGGTTTTTAACTATTTTGGACCTTAAATACATTTTCGGGAAAAATAAGGTAGTAATTTTTTAAAAGAGGCCTCCCAAAGTCGATTCCCAAGACACCGTTAGTTGTACTCATAGGGAACTTTCGTTACCTGTCGCGAAAATTCGTCGGTAGAGTTATGACGCCGCCTTAAGATGGGAAATTTCAAAGATATAAAATACATGTTTATCTCACAACACACAGATCAGGTGTTTAAGATATATTTTCAGAAGAAAATCCTAAAATATACTTACAATATTGATAAATTAGTGAGAAGTGCTTTAGAAAGGGCTAAAACCTCTTTAAGAATATTGATGTGCTAATGAAGTGTTCTTTTGAAACGTGTTCATAGGAAGGAGCGAGGAGGGAAATATACTTACAAACATAATGGCCATTCCGACGGTGACCATCCAGCCCCATCCTCCTTCGGGAACAGTGCTATGAGGGGCGGCTTGCTGCTTGCGTGTCATCCTCGCACTCTGAGAACAGTAAAGACCCGCGGCCCGCATCAGTGCACGCTCAAGACTCGGGGAGCATGTTTCTGCTGAAGTCTTGGGGAGCAGCATTGCAGCCCCCAGGGAACTCCAATCAGTTGGAAGAAAACCCAATCGGTTGCCGATATCCAGAGGAAATAATTGGGAAAACCTCCCAATTACTTCCTTATTTTAGTCGATAATTGTCCACTAACTTACCTCTCTTAGAAACGTTTTTCATTAAGTCACAATTTAACTCGAGGAGATTCGTAGATATTCTGGTGAATAATGTGGAACATTGTTGTACTAAGCCTCCTGATTCATTGAATCATTCAACCTTTGGCGGGATCACAATCATCTATTAAGAAAAAAACGGGATGAATTCTATTAATACTGTGAAATAGAAGATGTGCTAGTAGCCCTCGGTGGCTCGATAGTTGGCATGCTAGCTTTCCACGGCGCAACCCCGATTCCCGGCCGGGGCAAAATTATAACGGTACGCTTTCCTTACAAATGTATTGATGACGAGAAAGAAGACCACAATATACGGTGGATGGATGTCTTCGTGCTAACCACACGAACCCCATGGCTGGGCCACCGCTGGTCAGCCACTGCCCGCATCGGGCTGTCGAGCCAAGACAGGGAGACTAGGACAGGACAGGGAGAACTGTTACCTGCATTCCCTACTTGCCTCGCGCTGCCCTGTGCGGTCCCTCGTTTCGCTTCGTCTCGATCCGACCTTCCTCCATTTCTGCCGACCTTCGTCCCTCTCGCTCCACCCCACCTCTTCTCCCCGCCCGGCCCGCCATGCCTCCTCCGTCCCGTCCTGCCCTGCATCGCCCGCACCGGCTTAGGTGGCGTTACGAAAACACCTCAAGCCTTTGTTTCTCAGTGTCCACAGTAACGATAGCATGCACAAAAAAACATGGTGAAACATTGTCGGCGGAGAGGAATAGTGTCTGAAAGAGTACAGACACATTAAAAAAGATTGCGGCCAGACGACGTCAAACTAACATTGATTTGATTAGTGATTGCAAAAGTGTCTGCAAAACTCAATAGTCATTTGAGAAATACTGTTGTCTCAAAAACAGTGTGCGGGGAGATTCACGAAGCTTCATGGAGGGGCTGCAATTGCGAAACTCTTCATAAAGAAAGCCAGCGCAGAGCTGCAAAAGAAGTGGTGCCACATTCATAAAACATGGACACTTGATGTCTGGGAGAATGCGGTATGAACCGACGAAACATCGTTTACATCGCTTCCTACAAATGCCGAGAGGGTATGGGTTTGAGGTGAACCCCAAAACCAACCTACGATCACACCCCTTAACCCATGGCTCGGCCACCGCTGCTCAGCCACGGCTTTCTACAGTGAACCATGGGGAGGTTCCGTACAATGGGAAAACATTATTGGAAACTATTCAGGCCCTCTACAAATATACTCCGCAACGAATTGCAGCGGATCCAGAAGCAAATGCTGGCCCAACACATTATTAATAAATAAAAATTTTGAATGTCAGGTGTTAATATTATTTTGTCCAACTCCTGTAGCTAGGTCGAATTCAGTCGCTAATTGGAGAAGCATTCTATCCGGCTGCTTTGGTAGTGGTTTCCCCGATCCGTGGTTTTCCGTGGTTTCTCCGAGCAACGTAAGGCGAATGCCGGAGCAAAACCGTAACAAACGGGCCACACCGCGCGCGATCCCCTTCCTCTTCCTAGTCTCATCACTACCCGCACTCAAGCACTCATGTCGGAAGCTTAGAGTCTTCCCCTGGTGGTGGGAGCTACCTGGCTCGGGAAACCCGTTAAGCTAACGGGTAGGACGCGCCGGATCTCGCCATCCAACGGGCGAAGATCTCCGCGACCTCCCGCAATAAAAACAAACACCTATTGGCCTTAGCAGTTGACTGCACTAATTAATCAATCAATGCTCCGCCACCACACTCCGCTGCCCTGCACTCCGCAATGCCCTGATGCTTAGCGGGTTGTATCAAAAGCACCTTTCAAGCCTACTATTTCATTTCTTCAGAGGATAAGTGTTGCATTTCTGATACAATCTCTAAATCAATTTTACGCAGCATTACATAACTGCCTTTTGTTGTACCTAACTTACTCAGTATAATATGTAAGTATACAAGAAAGTTAAAAAGACTTGAAAACATTTCAGATAAGAATAACCCCTCCTATCTTGCCACCTGTGTCTCTGGGATTGTCCTAATGTGACGCTGTGATGACAATATAATACCATTGTGAAAAGATGTTTTATAGAGATGGATGCACTACAGTTTTACAGTGTCCAAAAATAGTGATTCCTTTGAGCGATAAAGTATTATATAAAAGCAGACTATTAACAGGAGAAGAATAATTCAGTGCACTATAAAAGCGTTCAAATTTTCTGTTTGTGTTTAGGTATCTCTCTGCAAAACATGCTCCCCCTAAATATCAATCTTCATTCTCAGTAGACTCGTAGAAAAAACAGACTTGCGAAACTTACTAACCTCGCTTTGTTGGTTCTTTTATTGATCATTCTACTATTTATGATCGGACCAGCAAATTTAGGATAGAGATTCTAGAGCTCAAGAAAATTACGCAAGTTGTACCTCTACCCCATACGCTACATTCAGTTTTTACTGCTTTTTTTTGACAAAATAAGTCAAAAACGAATTAAGGCAACAACCAATCAATGTTCGGGTCAACCAGCAAGTATTAGTGATATAATAGTTATTTAAGCACGAAGTGCGTTCTAAGGATTATAATGATCGAGGGGTGACAAAAAATCCGAGGTCCGAGGGCTTTTTGTCTTCAGAGAAAATTAGAATCTGTTATCTCCCGTGGTGCATAGGCTAATATTTTTTACCTTATTTGAATTAATATACCACGCTCCTCTCGATCCAAGTAGGTTATGCAGTGAATATTGAACTCTGGCAATAATATCGCAGGCAATAATAAACAATAACGTAATAGTAAAAATAAAGATTTTTATTTCTTTGCCATCTGAAGCGTAGAGCGCGTTATTCTGGGGTCAGCCGTCGGATGTGCAGGGCGACAGGGCGCGTCAGTCTAACTGTCACGCAAAGGCAAGTAGAAGTCGCATTGGACCAACCAATATTTACTGGGGTCCAATCCAGCAGTTGGTCTCGCCCAACTCGGGTCAATTGCTTGTTCCGCGACAGGCGATCAAGACCACTCTTTGCAAGTCCGAAGTCGACTACGTCAAAGGACACAATGGATACATTTCTTATGTATAAAATTAAATGTATGAACAATCGTAAACGTTGATTTTATCTGAGTTTAGGAAAAATGTTATATCAAAAATTTGCTTATGGGAAGACGAAGACACTTGAATTTAATTCGCTGTTAATTTAAAATCACTAAAATCACAATATCTAAGAAACGTAATTACAGATTAAATCGAAACTGAAAACGGTAGTGTAGTCTCAGCCGTCACAAACGCCAGATTTTTAAAGATGACTGCAATTCAAAATGTATTTTTTGATTTTATAATGGCTCGTTATATGAAAATCAGCATTCGTTCCGTTTTATCCATACACACTTAATGGAAACAATTTTAGTAGCAGTAAAGTTTTAAAGCGTTCATTGGCTTGTAACGAGGGAAACGGAGATTCATTTTATTTCTGATTCTAAATTAATAAACAAATCATCATTAATATCACACTGAATCTCGTTGACAGATGTTTATTCCTTTCATGAGCAAGGTGCCACTCTTATTTTTGGAGACAGCGAAAAATTATATTATTTAGTCATTTAAGCATTAAAAAACTTTAAAAAGTATGCGATTTATTATGTGAAAGAAGTAATGATGTAATATGTACTTTTTCTTGAGCTATGGAATTCCTATTCTAGCTCTTATACTATATTAAGATGAAGTATAAATACATTCGTGACAAGATTTTGGTAATAAGAACATATTCGCTCCCATTAAATAAAAGCTATTTGCAACGGAAATAGCATGTCAATAGCTACACAGCTCGGACAAATTCAGCCGCTGCTTGGAGAAGAATTCTAACAACCGGCTGCTCTGATCGGTTGTTTTATGTGGTTTCGCTGATCAACACCAGGCGAATACCGGAGCAGTTCCCTAACAAACGGGTCTCAGACCGCGCGCGATCTTTCCTTGATCTTCCTTGTCCTACCCTCACCCTTTATACTCACACTAACATGCACTACACTACAACACATGTTGACAGACCAGTCGGGAGTTTAGAGCTTGTCCCGGCGGGGGGGGGGATGTCCCGTTAGTGGTAGATAATTATTGAAAAAATACCGCCGCCATGTGTCGGTCGGCGCCGGATCTCACCATCCTGTGGGGGGAAGATCACTGTCCTCTCAGGCGATAAAAATCATGCACGACACTTATGCGAGTAAAACTTTTAGCAGTTGACGCACCCGGAAATAGGAATTAATCAATCATTTGTCTACAGCGCTAGTGTTAAGACGATTTGCTGTAAACCAATTTTCTCGGAATCAAGGACCCACACAACGTGGTTTCTGACTGCCCACCATATTAGAGGAAGTAATATAATGCATATAGGAACAGAAATGATCCCCCATAACGATATCAGGAATCAACGCCTCACAAAACATATTTTCTGTCGGAAAATCACCGCTTTCCTCTTCATCATTTTCATATTTTCTCTTTACTTGGTAAGTAAGTAATAGTTGAGAAAGAAAAAGAGAATATTTGGTATTAAATACAATAATTAAAAATATTTAAGTTAAAAATAACTTTCTGCTACAATAATTGAAAATTCTAAGTATAATTGTCAAGGGAATTGGTCATTTTAAACGATAGAAGTAGTAACGTGGTGCACTTGTTGACAAAACTCTGAATAGGGCTATAAAGAACACAAGATTATCTGCATATAGGTGAGATGATGATGATGGTTATGATAATAATGATAATAATAATGATAATAATAATAATAATAATAATAATAATAATAATAATAATAATAATAATAATAATAATAACCAGTCTGTTTATTGAGAGTTTCAAGAAACCACAGAACATGAAAACTGCTGGTATTTTTGTGATATTATTAGCAG